TTTTCTGAAACTCTGATTTCCCCGTGCTATAGAGAAATGATTAAAGAAGCTGGTTCAATGATTTAAGTGTGTCATTATTAAAAATAGAGAACGAGCTGAAGGCTCTTCAGTGGTGTTAATGACATGTAAGAAACGTACTGAAACAAACGTTGATCTTTGTTTAGCGATTTAAATGTGTAACTGAACAATAGGGGTATTGTAATGCTTGGAAGTGACCAAACTGTGGAGGATTGGGAAGAGGGGTTGGGGGGAGAGGAAAAGCAAGATATTAAAACTTCAGGTTTACACCTCTGCTTTTCTAACGTGTACCTCAAAAGTCGTCCTTTTCTTACTAATGTGTTTTTAATCGGTTTGCTGACTTAGTTAAATCTGACGTGCTTTGGCTGGAGAACGGTCCTAGTACAAAATAGCACTCCAAATATTTTCAGTATTTTAGAAATGTATATAGTACTTCAAAGCCTAGAGCGAATGTCAGCGTTGGCCATCTTAACGATACCGATAAAATCTACGTGTTAAGAGTAGTGATCTATTTTAGTGGATAATGTATGTTAAAAGGTGTTTTCCTTCAGTTCCCACTTTGCTTACTACATTGTAAAATAGGGAGCTATTTAATTACTCGCTGGCATTGTTCATCAGTTGCAACGTTTCTTTGTGGTATAAGGTGCTGGTTTCCCTTGCCTCTCTCTCTCTGTGTAAAACAAATATTCTGTTCCTCTAGCTGACCTTTTAAAAAACGTGTTTATCCTAAGACAGTATTTCATCTCTTAGGATTTAGTTGGAAAACTAAAAGATGCTGCAAAAAGTCTAGAAAGAGCGACTCAGATGTGATTGAAGGAAGGTGTCAGCCTGCTGAGCTGAAGTACTCTCATTCCTGAGTGTCTTCTAAATGACAAATGTCTTTCATCTCTTGATGCAAACTGTTCTCTTTTTTTTTTTTTTTTTTTAAGTCCTTGGATGCGAATTAAGTGAAATAACTTTTTTATGACCGGACTTGGTATTCCTTGCTCGTGTCATATTTTTTTTTAATTAACTCTTGTTAAGTAGTTGCTTAACTGTCATGTCTTCAAAGCATTCCTTCTATTTAACTTTGTGTATTTTTAGAATTGTCACGGATTATTTTTCTGTGGGATCTAATAAAGTTTATTCGCTCCCGTTCTGCAATTTCTGTGGGTGAATTAGCTGTGCCTAAAAGTAAGATGCTAAACGTTAGACCGGCTCGGTGAGGCGAAAATCCCTTCCTCCCGCGCCGCGGCGACGGCGCCTTTGCTAAACTGCCCACCGCGGCTTTGTTATTCCCCTCCAACCGCTCTTACGTCCTCCGCGCGAGTCCGAGCCCGGTCCCGGTCCCGGTCCCGGTCCCGTGCGAATTGCCGGAGCCGGGGCGCCTGGCGGAAAGCCGGGGCTCCGCGGGGCTGAGCGGGAGAGCCGGCTGCCGGCTCCGCCTCGACGGCGTCTCCCCCCCTCGCGGGGCCGCT